GTTGTCCAAGTTGATGTAGTGAAAGTTTATAATAAAAATTAAGTCGAACTTAGTTAAATTTAGAGTATTATACATGATCATATAAATGAGTAATATTGATAATAATACATATATTGGTACTAGTTTGAGGATATGAAATTTTATACAAACTGCAAATGAGGACTACAAGAGGAGACTTTATTTGTTATTAAATATAATCATTTTTTATTTAGAAAATGTTAGAAAGATGAAATGTTATTGAATGGAATGCTATTATATAGTTTTACCTCAAATTTAGGATATTTCATACAAAAGAATGTAAAAGCAATTTATAGTCAAATGAATGTTTAATAATATTTTTTAGATAATATACTGGATTGATGATGTGAGAATTTGTTTGAAATGGGTTGATAATTTCTGATCTTACATACATTTGAAAGTGAGGACTATGGAAGTGATGTACAAAAACTTTACAACCAAACAACATGCAGTACGTGGTTGAAGAAGGTTCCATGTGTTATTTGTTGTAAGAAAAATATTCTATTTAAAAAAAAAAAAACAAGAAATGATATACAAAGATTTTTGGATTTGCACAAATACCACCCCAAGAAAATAGAAATTAAGAGCTGGAAGAGACACCCGCAACAATAGAAAAAGAAAGGAAAAGAGGAAGAGAGGAAAAGGAGGGAAGGAAGAGAGAAAGTGAGGAGAGGAAGATGGAAGGGGGAAGCAGAGAAGAAGAGAGGGTAAGAAGGGGAAGAGGTAGAGAGAAGTAGGGGAGAGGTAAGGGAAGAAGGAATGGAAAGGAGAAGAGGAAAGAAGAAAGTAGAGAAGGGAGAGAGGGAGAGAAAGGAAGAGAGGAGAGGAGGAGAAGAGGAAGGAAGAAAGATAGTGAGGAGGACAGGAAGATGGAAGGGAGAAGGAGAGAAGGAGAGAGGGTAGGAAGGCGAAGAGGAAGAGAGGAGGAGGTGAGAGGTAAGGGAAGAAGGAAGGGAAAAGAGGAAGGAAGGAAGTAGAGAAGGGAGGGAGGGAGAAAAGGAAAGGAGAAGAAGGGGTGTCAAAATAGCCGAGGGATGGTAAACAAAACAACCCAAATGGAATATTACAATTCCATAAATGGAATGACAAATGTATTAGAATCATGAATGTAAAATAAAAAAGAAGAATAATTATGTGAATGTATATATAGGGAACAAAAAAATAAAAAAAACTATTTCTAAAAAAGGTCAACTGTGATTGTGCAATTGAAGCTTCACTCTTCCTTTTATCAGCATCACATACTGTATATTCTAGTCTCCATCTTAATAAAGTGGTGATTCTATGACTACTTCATTATTTGATTCAAATTTGTGATGCTTCAGAAATAACTATATACTATATAATACAGCAGCGATCGAGTAATGCAATACTTATGCAAATAACTTACCTTTCTTTTTAATTTCAGGAACACCTTTCTTCTCAGCAGTTACTTTTTTCCTCTCTTCTTCTAAGACATAAATCAAAGGGTAATTAATTGGTTTCATTTTGTTTAAATACAATAGGCAGATCAGAACCCTTTAAAGATGAATCAAATTAATTGCTTTATTTTAAAATAATAAATACCTACCTTTTCTTATAACTTGTGGAATAGCTTTCTTTTCTTGAACAGCTTTTTTTCCTTTTTCCACTTCTAAAGAATAAATTTAAAAGGAAATTATTTCAGAGTGCATTTTTATTCAAGAATTAGTAGTCAAAATGACAGAACCCTTTCTACTTCTATACTTGGAGAAATAAAATACTTCTGAATCTTAAAAAAAACCAGCACAAAATGTTGCCTGGTCAACAGTCTACTCATTTTAATGGAGGAAAAAGACTTCACAAAGAAGTGGGGGAATGACAATAAAAACAACTTCAGAAGGATTTTTTTTTAATTAAAAAAAGTAGACTAATGCCATACTGTGGAACAGCAGTACAGTTGATTGACAATGGAATGGAGGAATAACTGAATTTCTGGACCATCCAGGATAATTTTGATACACTTCGACTTCATTTTTACCTCATTAGGGACAGAAAGTACTTTGATCATCTGTGATGATAACTGGGCACAAATAATGTGTTTATTTTGTTCTTTAGAGTTGAAAGGCAAAATTTTAGTACCATTGGATTTCAGCCATTATATCTGATAATCAGAGCATTTGGATGGGATAGAATTTAGCAGCATTTTTTTTAATGGTCAGTCTTGACATTGTTGGAAAAGTGGTCCTGGAAGGTAGTCTCTCTATCTCATTGCTCACTCTATTTACTGTATATAATTACTGTATATAATAAACTACACTAGGAAACTATCCAGGTTTTAAAGCTTTGATACTTCTAAATTTCTATGTCTCTCTTTTTCATCCAAATAGATTCAGCCATCTGATATGGATATCTGATACCAGTATTCATAATGAAATGGAAGAGGGCAAATGCATTTAAACATTTCCACACAAGGAATAAGATGGTCCTGGCAATCTACAGTTCTATGCTGGATGGCATAAGACCTCTCCGAAATTTCAGATTCATAGTTTAGATGTGCTCTTTCAGTAAATGAGGTTAAAAATGCTGAGCTTATCAGCTGGAAATCTGACTGACAGCCTGGGTCTGCACCATGCAATGGAGTGAGCTCCCGTTGTTGACCCAGCTCCTGCCCACCTAGCAGTTTGAAAGCATCCAATGTGAGTAAATTAACAGGTACCACTTTTGTGAGAAGGTGACAACATTCTGTGTGCTTTTGGTATATAGCCATGCTGACCACATGACCACAGAAAATGTCTTCAGACAATACTGATTCCCTTGGCCAAGAAATAGAGATCAGGACCGCACCCTAGAGTTGAATATGACTGGACAGAGAAACCTTTACATATGTATATATTGATGCATTTGCCCAGTCTCAGATTATATTACATTTCTCCACATAATAGCACATTTTAAAAAAGATGATTAGATGAAGAGTAATGCTATACATTTAATAAAGGGGATTCCACTAGGTTTCCGGTTGTCACCCACTCTTTAGCCCACACCTTTAACAAACCAGGTAAGGTGATTAAGGCTATCCTATCTGGTTTGCTATATTTGGCAGTGATTGGATGGAAGCCAAGTCAGCTTTTTTTCTCTTTGCTGCCACGTCCATTGTCAACTACATGCTGCTTGATAGCTCTAAAGGAAGGCAGAATGAGTGACAGAAGAGCCACTAACACTGCTGTGGCTGTTGTGGCAGGTGTAGGAAACAGAACCATTAGAGTATATGGCAACTTCCATGCTGATTGCTCCTGGATGCTATCTTCCTTTTCTTGTGCTCCCGAAGGAAAAAGGGAAGGGGGAGTGATGGCAGCTGAAAGAGACTGAAAACTCTTTGTTGCCCTTTAATGTTCATCAGAGCTTTCCACCCTAGCTAAATAAGTCTAAGGGTGATTGCAGGGGGTTATCTGAGGGAAGGATCTTGAATATGCATGGTGGTATTCTGAAGAGGGAGATAGATCCATTCTGGATCTAGAAGTGAGAATATTTTGATGAGGTACAGGTCAATGATCATTCAGCTCAACTCTGCTGCTACTAAGGCCATCTCCGTTGAGAAACCCCATCTAAAAGGCCTCCCTCAGATCCAAGGGAGCTCTGTTTAACCCTCTGAAAGAGTAGACAATTAGCCTTGCTTCAGTTTCATCAGTTTGTGTCTCAGTTACATCCCTTCAGGCTGCAGATACAGACTGGATAATAGATCCAAATACGGATGATGTAAATGAGGCAGAGATGGAGACAGAGATGGATAATTATAGAGACAGTGAAGGAGATGGATAAAGCCGGAGATAGTGACTGAGACAGAGTTATGCAGATGAAGGCAAAGGCAAACAGACACAGAAACAGAGGTTTAAATAATTTCAAAATTTTGGGGGATAGATTAGCTCCAAATCATTCAAATGAATTGTCTTTAGAGGACTTTTTAAAAAAAGTATTCAATCATATGTGCTCCCATTTGCAACCTGAAATGCTATGTTGACCTACTATATATTGCAGTTAACACAGCATGTGGTTATACCAAGTGTCTGGAAGGAAGAAAAAGAAGTAAGAGAGGAAGCTGTTTTTCTAATAAACCCATATTCAGTTAATTTGCTAAAATGTTTTCTTATGGACTTCAGATCAGTCATGATGAGGAGCTGCTTCTCTCACAAATGACTAAGAAACTTTAGGCATGAGAGAAGGAAAGTAAAAGCAAACATGAAGTTTTATCTTTAACTCTGCCCTCAATTTCAGTGTCACTTTCAGTATCACTAATATTAACATATTTTGTTATTTATTGCCAACATACAGAGAAATGCTTCACACATTCTATCAACTTACAAAGGGAGAAGAGAATGGCACTAACTAGTCTCTGTTCTGACCTCTTCCATTCATTTATACAATCTGATTATCTTCAGAGGAGGACCTTTGAAACCACATTTAAAATATCCTTGTGATTTGGAATCCTGTGCATTTCCCTTCAAAGGACACAGGATTAAGTTAGCTTAATCATGGTTTATTTGGGCACATCCTAACACTCCCCACACATGCTGATTTGAATACACAAATTGTTTTTCTGGATACGAGAAGAGTCTATCCACAAATCACATGACCATTTCAGGTGGAACTGGTACGGTTATCTAGCCAAAAGCAAACAACAGAATACAATATGCACTACTTACTTTTTGTAGCTGTCACGTTAAGCTTTCCCACTGCATGAGCAAAAGAATAATTTTTAATAAGTTAAACCAAGGAATGCAAACAATGAATTTCAAGGGATGAGAAAGGATAGCATGTTTGCAGAAGCACCAGCAAATATATGATTGCGAGTATTACAAAGTAGATATGTTCTTAAAAGCTATAAACCCTATAGTCTTTCTGCATATTGGTTCCATAAATATAAGCACCATCCATGTGCTATGAGAGGGAAGAGATTTACAAAATTGATTCTGTCTGTATGCCAATATTGGGATACCCACAGTGCAATAAAATATCTGTTAAATTTTTCAGCTATGAGTAGTTTCTTTTATATTAAAAATATATACCATTTTTCTTTACACTTCACAGCCATGAACCAACTCAGATTTATTATTCCAATCCAACACAAATATATCAATAGGTCAGATACATTCTTTGTACACAAAGGGTCTACCCAAGTGTAAAAATTTCCAAGAAGCAAAAACTTTGTTTGCATTTGGTTTCACGCACATTTACTAGAAAGGTCTAGACCAGGGGTGTCAAACTCAATTTCAGTGAGTGCCGCAACAGGATTGTGTTTGACCTCAGAGAGGTGGGGGTGGCCAGGGTGGGCATGGCGAGCTTGATGTCACTCATGTCAGGGGCGCTTGTGGTGGCCTGAGCGCTCTGCAGCAAACACGGGCTCCTGAGCTCTGCTTTCAACACCAGCAGCCTCCTGCAACCCTCTGCCAGGGAAAATGAGGTTTGTTTTGTGGCAGAGGCACTGCGGGCTGGTCCTTTGTTGTTTCCAGTTTGGCCCCAAGGACCAGATCTAAACACCCAGTGGGCCAGATTCAGCCTGTGGCCTTGAGTTTGACATCCCTGGTCTAGACAGTAACAGAATTAAGGCCTTTACTTTCATCTCTATCAGATGTGCAATACTATTAGACACTAGCAGACTTCCTTCTTTTGTGTGCCTTTGGAACTGCAACTCCCTGAATTTCCTGGACAAAGGTGAACCAAAGGTGTACTTTTTTTGTGTGCTTAAAAACCCTGAGGTGCAAGTATGCACGCTAAGTTCATGCAATATACACATATATCTGGAAACTAGGAGAACCATCAGAAGAAAAAATGATCACAGAAAAAAATGTGGCAAAGTTTTTACATAATAAAAAAATATGTGATGTTTAGTGAGAGGCACATATTTCTTCTTAAATTAAATATCAGGTAAGAATCCTTTTTGATTATCAGGTAATCATTGTTATAAATATTCTTATTAGCATAATTCTGGTCATAAATTCATTCCATTCCATAAATTCATTTTAAGTCCCATATGAGCAAACTAAGGAATTGTATGAAGTGACCCTAATAATGAAAGTTGAAAAGCAACTGTCAAACATAAACTATGAGACTAAGGGAGAATAATATGCAGCATTCAATGGGAACATGGAGTAGAAAATATGGTGCTATTAGTGCATGTTCTTTGAAAAGTAAATAACTTGATTTGGACAATAATTTTAAGCCATTCCACTCAGTTTTAATATGTATTATATGATTCTTAGCATAGATTTTGCATTTCACAAGTTACAACAAAGTTGAAAATCAGGCTAAATAAACAAAGGTAGCTTGCAGGTGGCCAGAAATGGATGTATACCTTAAATAAATTAAGTAATTGTGTTTCTTAAAAGGTCATTCTGGGCCTGAACATGCGGTGAGATATTTTCCCACTAAGATTTCTTAATTTTAAGTATGCAGAAACCAACTAAATATGCAGAAGCCAGATCCCAGAAGCCAATTTTGCATGTAATCCCAGATTGTTCACCTACTGCAAAATAGATCTGCTAAATAAAAAAGCTTTCCCATCCATAGCCTGATAAACACAAAATACATTTAATAGTTCACAATAGAAATGAATAAACTAATCCTGCACATTCACATTGCCACGGCATATGACCCCATCCAATTTTAACAAGAGTTGCCATTTCCAGTTCAGAATGCAGGATCTTATCTGAAACAAAGAACTATTACCAAGGTTTTCCTTGAATGTGACTTTTTTTTCAAATTTTGTTTTACTTTCCATAACCCCACATTAATAGAACAAGTTTCTAGAAAATTCCCAAATCAAAAAGATCTCTTTCTAAAGTAAAAAAATAATAACTGGAAAATCAATGAAGGAGAGAAAGATGTGATGAGAAAAATAAGAAGGGTTTTAATTTAAGCCTCAAAAGGTCAGGCACATTGCTCTAAAATGGTCTTCAATGACTTCTACAACATCTTATGTCTTCCACCAGGGATGTCAAGTGCTTTTAAGAGATGGGAGAAGGCAAGGAGGAGCAGCACTGGATTTATGCCAAGTGTCCTTCAAAGTAGATTAGAGCACAGCAACTGCCTGTTGATCTGCCTGTGATGAGAATCTCTAAATATAGCAAAGCACTTGAGATAGATGGCATAGTGCTACACAACTGAGACTCTCCGAAGAGACACATTACCAAGCTCTGTATTTTCACACTTTAAGTTCCAAGATGATATAGGGAGTAAGTAAGTGACATTAGTGCTGATTCAGAAACAGCTTGCTGCCCATCCATCATCAGCAAAAGGAGGAGGTAAGAAAAAGGGCCCAAAAGATGGTGATAAAGAGGAACATATAGAAGCAAAAAGAAGCTTTCTTCAGTTTGGAGCCTGGGTGCGTTTGGTGCTTCTGATCAAAACTGTAAGAATGGTTATGGAAACACATTTTTGTGAAGGACACATGACAGTAGCTCGATATCCCTTAAAATACTGCCTTCATATTTAAAAGTATAATATGGAAGTTTGTCCCTCCAAATACAAAACAGATTAAGCTTGAGTTAGATCTTGATTTCATATCTATATCAGTCCCCACTAATACAGCATTATTGAGATATAGTTCAGCATGAAATAATTTTAAAATTAATGCTAGATTTCATTTTATCTAGTTCAGTTCTATTTATACTATTTAAGGGTATATTCTCTTTCAGCCTTCCTCACCTTTTGGTGCCTAGAAATATTGCGACTGGTGCTTCCAGAATTCCTAACCAGCATGGATATTTCATTTCCTTTTATGAAACAGTTAATATATTGGCTATTCTCAGATTCCAAGTATTCAAAGTATTAATATTCATTGAAATCAGCTGAGAATAGAAATAATATTCCTGGTATATTAGAACTTCTCTGAAGCCTGCTGTGCCTCTGAGCTCATCTCATCTGACAGGGTCTCTTCAAACATTCTTTTTTTTAATGAGTGTTTCATTTCGCTTCTATTCTTCTCTTCAGCATTGCATAGCTGTGCCATCCTGATGTAATCAGGCAGTTTACAAAGGTCAAGGAAATGTAAATAAAATCAATCTGAGATTCTGAGAGTAGCTATATTTTTAAATTCTGAATCCCATCTGTTTGACTTGTCTCAAGAATGCTAATCCAGAAATAACTATCTGCAATAACTATAGTATACATTAATCTAATGTTTTAAACACATTGTCTGTTATTTGGATTGGATATAACCAAACCCTTTGGGACTAAGAAAGCTAAGGTATAATGATGCAGATAGGTCATTCTGGGAGATAGCATAGCTTCCCTAAGTATCTGAAATCATCTACTCTGCTGTTTATTGCCTTTCCAACCTATAATTTATTTGCTATTGGGATGGAATAGTAGATGGCTAAGGCGCATCTACTTAATATTCTTAATACTCAAATGATGTGAATTTGTTGTGGATCTTCCGTGAGCATTCAACTTTGCTGTCGAGAGGAGGAGCTTAAAATCTTCTTTCACAGGTCAGAATACCTAAAGTCATTTAAAATATGGTAACCCATTAAGGAAGGTAGTAGCTAGCAGAAAACAAATTGCCTTCAGATTTAAAAGTATAATATGGAAGTTTGGCTCTCCAAAGTTAATTGGCAGTGAATGCCAAATGTAAAATGAAATAAAAATGCCATGGATGCAGTGGAAATGCTACAACTCCACTGCCTATTCTTTTATTTGTATACCAGGCATTTTATTGTAATTGTGAACCTGTTGATGACCAAATCAGAAACAAGGTTTATGAGTAAGCTTCAAATGAAATCATTTAAAAAAAAATTCCCAGAAGATTTATTTATTTATATTTTATGTTTCTATACTGCCCATATCCCACAAGGGAGATTTATTTTATATACGTTTTCTTTTTATAGAAAAGATTTCAACAGTAAATTCAAGAAACTTCTACAGGTCATCTACCAGTGGTGGGTTCCAAAGATTTTTAGAACCTATTCTGGTGTGGCCTGTTTTGTGGGAGTGGTTTGGTGATCATGTGACCAGTTGGGAGTAGCTTGGTAGTCATGTGATTGAGTGGGAGTGGCTTGGCAGTTATGTGACCAGGTGGGAGTAGCTTGGCAATCATGTGACTGGGTGGGAGTGGCCAAGTAAATGTCACTGAATTCTTTGCCCCAAAGAATGACCTACAAAAAGAAGATATAAAAAAAAAGGGAATTTATTATTTTGTGCACTTACTACTTAAATAAGAATAAAATAAGTACACAAAACAATAAAATAGCTACTTACAGAGGAAATATGGCTGTCCTTGCCGGTCTTCAACATTACTGACCATCTTACACACACACTTCCAGCTTCTCTGCCTCTTCCCTCTTCCTGGATTCACTTGAAGTTTTAAAAACTCACAGCCTGTGCACAGCACACACTCTTCTAGCAGCCCCTCTGCCTCTTCCCTCTTTCCCAACATCCTCCCCACCCCCACCCCAGCCACTCACCAGTTCTTTCTTCTTCTGGTTCTTCTTTTGAGAACTTTTTGGCAGCATGGTGAGGATGGGCAGGATGAGTGAAAGAGTGAAGGAGAGGAGGGAGCATTCTGGTACGGGGCCTCCTGACCAACGGGTACGGGAAGGCATGCTAAATTTCACCATCTGGTATGGCTGTATCGGGCCGTACCGGTTGAAACCCACCCCTGCATCTACCTGACTTTTCATAGTCCCACAACTGAACTTCATTTTCACCTTCCCAAGGATCAAGTTCCCAAGCCAGGTTTTCCGAGTAATGAAGGCTTACTATACTAAAAAGTGTAAATAAATATGCTGGTCCTATCTCTGGGCCCAAGTCATACCATAATGCGTTAAGAAATTAACATGCTTCTGTATTCCATCCTAGCTGAGTAGCTAAAGTTTTTCATTACTTTTCCATATTTTTTAAATAATGAAATAGCATTATAATAGGAAGAAAAACTATAAATAAAGTGCTCCCTGAGAGAAATAGAAATTGATGAGTAAATGGGCAATTCATCAGTTATCCCCAAGCTACTGTGAAAAGGAATCGGAGACAGCCTAACTTAATTAAACATAGAATCATTCTTACAAGCCACAATAGACATGCCATCATATTTTATGAAAGATTGGAAGAAAATTGCCACAAGCTGGTGGGGGGACGGGACATGGAAGTAGCAAAGAAATACTGGAATAGACTGATTTGGAGCCAACACCATATGGAAATTTAGTATAAAAAAGAAATAAAAATAGCAATTTCAGAGAAATGGAACCAAAAGCGATGTTTCTCATACTAGAGACATAATTAATTTGATAGGGACTAGACTTGCACAGATAATCATGCAAAAATATTAATCAGTACTTAGTCTGGGGAAAAAAATTCTTAATGAATTATTATTTTTCCCCCTTCAGGTGCTACAGTCTCCCAAATATGGAAGGAAATCCCAAACCCCCTTCAGGTGCTACAGTCTCCCAAATATGGAAGGAAGATCACTACTTCCATTCTCTGTCCTTCGGCTCGTCACAAGAGACCATCCAGGCAGAAACGCAATATATATATATATTACAGAACTCTGAAATTAGTTTTATGTAGAAACCATTCTACATTGCTTTCAGTACTGAGTCATATTGTGCAGCCTTCTTGGAACATCTGTACTGTTCTCACTTTTATAGATACCATTGTCAGCATTAGACATCAAATGGGGTAAATATTTTTTCTCTGTTCTGGACTCATGCTTGGTATAGAATTGCTTCCAAATTTGAAGGCTTCATATTGATTTTTGTTTGTTTGTCTCTATATTAAAAATCACACTGACTCTTGGATCCCTGTTCTAAATTGTCACCTGCTTGCAGGCTGCTTCTAATAGCTTCACAGAAATGAGTCATATAAAACTGTAAATAAGTCTAAGGAGAAAACATAGCACTGTGTTAACATTAGGAGTAAGAGACCAGCATCAGAGATATAGTTCTATATCTAGATTCTAATGTGGATGCAGTGGACTAGACCTAACCTATAATTTTATATGTCAGTTCAGCAAATGGTTTTATTACTCTCACAGTGGAAGAACAATTATCCTTCTTTTTCATCTTTATCTAGTTAATCTTTGCACAGAGCTTTTCATATGCAAAGTGTTGCATCGGTTACATATGACACTAAATTTATCTTCAGTTTACAGAATTAATAGCATTTATTTATTTGATTTATACAGTCTCCTATCTCACTTGTATACGCTTACAATAAATAAATAAAACACAAAATATAAGAAGCAAACATTTAAAGAAAACACATAGCAGGCAGGCATAAACTAACAATCATTCACACAACCAAGAGATGGGCTCTAACCCATGCCTTCTGGATCTAGCTAGCTATCATTCCTTAGTAGATATATGCGGAGTATGCCCTTTCTTGCGAGGTCAGACAGGACAGGTGGAAGCAATTTAGGTTTTAATACTTTAGAAATAATGTCCAGAAACATTTCTCTTACATCTTTCTGAAATTTAGATCACTGCCTAACAGCTATCCTGGGACTTTACAAAAAGCATGTATTTTATTATTATTATTTTCCTTTCCTTCTTTCTTTGATTGAATTTCATTAACTCCTGATGTTGGGATTATTGAAAAATTGGGTCCATGGACTTTTATATGGATCCAACTGTGTGTAGGGGCTATATTTTCTCAATTTCTGCAGCTGCATGCATCAATTTATGAATATGATTGCATATAGCACCACTGGTATTAAACATATACACAACCAATCCCATAATGGCTACAATTCATTTGAGGATCAGCAAAAGCAAAATGTAACTCATAATTCTGAAAATTAGGAACTAAATCAGAGCATTTAAAGCTTAAAACACTAATTACAACTTAACACAATGAATATTTACCATTATGACAAACAGGGTGGCACAACAGCATTTAGTTCTTAAGGTTTTTTTTTGTTTTTTGTTTTTTTTATAAGCTGAAGAGATGCATTCATCAAAAGCAGAAGCAATATGTCCTCCCTAGCATCATGCATTTGGGGACTAAATTGTGAATTCAGCTCTACCTTCTATATTTATATGAGAATATTTTACTAGGAAATGGAAGTCAAACTATCATCCAATTTTTGGAAAGAAACTATCATCTTCAGGTGCTACAGTCTCATTAAAGTAAGCACTGATCTGCTTCTTATTACCTTCTCATCCTGCTTCTTACATGGAGTTCTACTCTTACCCTATTCAATCATACAATGCTAGATCTCTAAATACTTCATGCTCATGGCTTTTTGAGTGACCAAAAAAAGCTTTGCTTGGAACTTTTTCAAGGGAAACTAATTGATTAATGAGGTACCCTATTTCTAGATATTCTTGAAAGAATGAGACATTCCAGTCTTTATCTAAGAGAAAGTATGTTTAGAGAGAGAAAAAAATCTAGAAATGGAAATATACTTACAGCAAGAATTAAACAATTGTACTACTGGGCATATGAAATGGCAGCCAGTTTGCGTCAGTGATTAAGACACAAGATTAAAAACTGAGAGAACATGATTTACTCAACATCAAGCCAACTGGATGACCTTGGATCTGGATGACAACTGGGCCAGTCACTGTCTCTCAGACTTTGGAAGAAGACAATGGCAAACCATTTCTGAAAAATCTTGCCAAGGAAAACTCAGGGACTAGTCTAGTCCCCAGAAGCCAATGCTGAGTCAGGCACCAAAACAACTATCACCACCACTCTATACCTGCTAGGGTTGTAGTAGTTTTTCTGGGAGCATATTTTCCATTTTTAATTATTTACTTATTTCTTACAGAAATAAAGACATTGTTAAAGGATGTTGTAATATGAAGAACTTGACAATTACTTGCCTAGTTTTACAAAATTATTATTATATGCTTCTATTTGCAGAAATTTCAAAGAGTAGTCTGCTATGCATATGACAAGGGAAGGAACAAGGAGGCAATTCTTTTCTCTCTCCTTTAACTCACTATGTTCATCAGTAGAACAAAAAAACATCAGGAAAAGACAAACATTTATTCCCACACCATTCTAAAAGTGAGAGGTCCTGTAAATTTTAGTGGACTAAAACCTGAATCTTTACATGTCATCAAATTTAGAGGTAATCTTGGAGAAAAAATGGATGAACAAAGCTGATTCAATTTTAGTTTCGTAGCTTAAACCTGATTGTTATGACTTTATCTGAGAAAGACTTCTGAGATAAAGAGGATGAGTCAGGGGATCTCACTAAGCTCTCTGGATCACATGACCCAGATGGTCTCTGGCCATAATCAATTTCCACTAACCCAGAATATGTTGACCAAGACTCTGACCCATATTTACCAGCACAGTCCATGAAAATGGCAGATATGTAAAATAAAATGTGAGAGATAAAGATATATCAGTGTGCAAATGTACAAGAAAAGGTCTTGAAAATAAAAGTACATTTAAGAATTGCTCAATACTTGTAGAGCTTAAGGCAGATCAAACCTCAAGCCAACTGATCATGTAACTATAACTTTTAGTACATTCTTTCATGAGAGCAGTTTATTATTGGAAGCAATAGCTTGCTTGTGAAACCTAGTGAGTGGATTCCTTTGCATTGTCTCTTGTGTTGTGTTTCCTGGAATCTCAGCATAGATTTGGAGTAGTCTAGCTTTGGTTTTTGGATTAATTTAGAAACTTTGTATTGTTTTGATCCTGAGCACTATTTTGAATTTAGACTCTGGATGATAAAGTTAAGCTTTCCTTTATTTCCATATCCAGCCCTGACCCAGGATAGGATACTAATATTAGTTTGAATAATAGTATCTATTTTGGTCAAAATAATCTGTAAAAATATCTGAATGGTTTTTTAATAGAAGTTAACTGAACTTACCTTCAGCAGCTGGGAGAAGAGCTGTGATTGCCGAGGTCGGTTCCAAAAATAAGGGGGGATAAGATTCTGAACACAACAGAGGCATGAAAGGCTATTAATTATAATAATATGCAAAATAATACATAATATATAATGAAGTACACTTGGAGATTAAAAACAAAAACCAGTCTCTCAGCAAAATTGAGTTTCTTCTGAGTTGCTGTGTATATTGCTAAGTATCTCCTAGAAATAAAAGAGGGCAGAACAAATAAAACCCTTTGATTTGAAGTTTTAGATGAGTAAGCGTGAAATCATATAAATTAAAAATGCTGAATTATTTGCTGATCACTTTGTATTCAGGGTTAAAAAAAAGCATCAATCTATACAATCAAGTATCACACATTTATAGCCCTTGATTGTTGGCCTGAAAGCCCGTTTCCTTCTACTTGCAATAGAAAGGACTTTTCTAGTTCATGAACATCTACCAAGTTGTAGAGACATAAACTCTTTAATAGCTGCTTTACTTTGTGTAGCATATTACCAAACCTTTGTAGAAATGTCAGCATGACAACAGCTGTAGAGTAACATGAGCAGATGATGTATTTTTCAGTGAAAGATGTTATCATTTTGTGAAGAAAGGAAAGAAGTAGAATTACTACTCTCCACATTTTGGGTAGAATACACAGGCAAAAGACATCTACATTTTCCACAAGTGACCACAGCCACAGATGATCCATTCTAGAAGATGGCTAGCATAGGCAACATAACTGGAGTCATAACCAAAGCTAAAATTTGTTTCTCCAGGATCAAGGGCAAAATCATGTTTAATTTGGTTAAGAAAACCTTTGTCCACTAAAGTAGACTAACTCTGGCTAAAATGTTTTTCTCATCCCATTGCATGTGGGATATATTGGCAATAAATGTCCTCTGAATCTGCTAGTTTCTCTTTTAAACATGAACCCTCTATTTTCCACCTTCACTCTAATAAAATATATATAATACAATACTTTGATATAACTTATTTCTTCTATTGTTACTTTCCATACATCTTGAAAACAGGCATGAACTCACAAAAATGATTAGTGATATAAATCAGGATTATGACAGCCAAAGCTTTGAAGTTTTGAGATAATACAGTCAAATGCATTCATAAAAATTTATGCCTGCCGTATTAGGTTATTTTATTACACACTGGCATAGAAACTTTTACCTTGACAAATTTGCAATATATTTACACTGACAAACATATGGCAATATAGTTTACCTCTTCTACATTTTAACTTTGAATACCTACTCAGCCCACCTGCCTATTCTCAAGTGGGAATTTAAAATCTCAGTTTTTAAGGGAGATATAAGTTATGAAATATATAATGCAATTTCTGACTGAACATGGATGAGGTCATTCTGGTACACTTTCATTCTGAAAGGAATTTCAACATGCTTCAATTTGACAAGGCTTTGAACCAAGCAGTCCCTTGAAGCTGCTTAGTGAAGCCTGCCTGGTCTGCTCCCTTTCAAGAGCTAAATGATGTGGCTATGTGGCTCTGCTTCAGTGACTCCCTTGTTTTTTTCCCCTCACAGTTTGCAGTATAAAAGAAGGCTGACAGGAACTTCTTCAGTGAGCACTGTGGGAGAAAGCTGAGACATACATTCTCCACATTGCATCTAAGAGGAATCACATTCTGCACCGCACCAGCTTGGGTTACGCTGAATCCCAGAATCCATGAAAGAATGACTAAATCGAAGAGCCCTTAACCATAGGGGGATACTTCACCCACAACTAGTTTGATGTCTCCTCTTCCATATGACAGGACTTAAAAGCTGTTCGGTTTCAGTTTAGGAGAAGAGCAACACAAAGAGATTCCCAAGCTGGGAATGGCTGTTCTAGATTGTAAAAAACAAAACAAAAAACCCTGAAGCCCATCCTCTGGATAAAGGTAAAGGTTCCCCTTACACATATGGGCTAGTCATTCCTAACTGTAGGGGGAGATGCTCATCTCTGTTTCTAAGCCGAAGAGACAGCGCTGTCCGAAGACGTCTCCATGGTCATGTAGCCAGCATGACTAAATGACAAAGGTGCCCAGAACGCTGTTACCTTTGCACCAAAAGTGGTCCCTATTTTTTTACTTGTATTTTTTATGTGCGTTCAAACTACTAGGTTGGCAGAAGCTGGGACAAGTAACGGAAGCTCACCTCGGTACACAGCACTAGGGATTCGAACCGCGGAACTGCTGACCTTTCGATTGACAAGCTCAGCGTCTTAGCCACTGAACCATTGCGTCCCTGGATAGCCAGGACCAAACTCTCTTCTTCTAGAATGAGATGGATTTCAGAGGTTCAGAGTGTCTGTTCCACAGAATTGAACAATGGTAACATAGGCAGTTTTGGACAAGGTATCCAACTTCTATTGGAGCTAAACAATGATGCACAGACACCCCGCAGCCTGAAACCTATCTTGCCTACTTTTTGTCTCCCTTCAATATTTTTGATGACCAAACCTTCTGACCAACAGGAATATGGAAAAAGGGCAAGTGGGTAGCATTACCTAGTTATGAGCCTATTTCCCCAGGAAGTCCTGTATAAGAGTACCAGAGCATATCAAAATGTAGGAACTATACATTCCAAACATTGCAGCTCAGTAAACTTCATACAGTTTCCTCCCCACCCCTTATAACTAGGTGATGATTGGTTTTAGTCTGAAATTAAAATCTTGAATATACAGTAAGCATCCATCTAATTCTATCCTGATAGCTCAGATTTCAGATGTTGCTTTATAATGGGTAACTTTCCCTCTCTTGCCTCCCACTTGCAGCAAAGTTGAATCCATTCAGCTCTGCTCTGGAAATGCTGCCCAAATGGGAACAGGTTTAGGTAGAAGCAGATGACTGAAAAATTGTGAGAATTGGGTACAAAATTGCAAGAGGAACTATTAAGTGGGTTTCAGCATGCTCTTCCTGTCTCCAGAAAGGAAACAAAGACAGGAGCAGGGTATGTACGTGTATTTGCACCTTGTGTTTATGTCTGCAAATGTTTTACATGTTGTATGCTTGTAAGGTTTTACCAGAAAAAATAATGTGATTCATTTATACATTATATTTTGAGAAAGCGTGATGTACCAAATAAATTCAAAAGCGGCACAGACGTTTTTGTAAGAACAGGCTGAATCATTTTTCAGGAAACAGCACATTTTCTTAGGAAACAATTTCACATTTGTCTCTTTTTAGAACTCATATTTTCCACCACCTGATCACTATGTAATTTTAAATAACATTCTTCTCCTATCTCATTTGCTTTGAAAGCTTAAAACACAAGCCACCTTAAAAGTTTTCCCTGGACTCTAACTTTGTAAATTACAATATATTAGCCAATAGCAAATGAGAACATTTTCTGTAAAGAGGGGTCACCAATCTGGAGAAAATATTGGCCAATAATACTAATCTTTTGGTTGAGATTTTTATTTTCAGCATTATCATTCTATAATCGCCAGAACTTGCTTAACCAACAACAGGACAAAGCTAAAGCAAAAGACATGTTATTCTTCCTTTTATGTGAACATGTCATTTTTGACTGAAGGCTCCAGATTGGGAGAACATCTAGACTGCAAGGAACCCTGCAACCCATGTGGGAGATCCCAGCCTGAAGGATCATTTTGTACCATTTTGGTACAAAATACAATACCTTTCCATTTAAACAAGTTATGTTCAAAAAGCCAAATTAGCATCCCAAGTACATCTTCTTTAATAATCTCTCCACTATTTTTTCCCTTTGGGGACAAATAAGAATTTTGGGTCTAAGCAGTTCTCTAAAATATCCTATAGGAAGTCAGAATCCACAAGATTAGAGATACTTAAATATGTTAGGTAACTAGGTTTGAGAGAAAGGAGATTATAAACAACATTACTTCACACCTGATAGAGAGGTGGAGGTATATCAACCAGTGGACACAGAAGGTAATGAGGAGAATAAAGTTTTTGAAGGAAAGATGAGAAGTTTAGTTTTGAGCACAGAGTTTAAGAAAGTGGTGGAAATCTCAAGGAGTCATAATGTAGTCAGGATAGAAGAACAGCTGGGTGTAAAGATTTATGAATTGGCAAATCATGAAGATAAGAAAACCAATAAGGACAAGAAGACAAAGGAAATGCCCAAGGTTAACCTAAACCAACATTCCAACCGTAGGAAGTTAAGGAGTTAAGAAGAAAACCAGGGTAAAAATACAGAAAGTTAAGGCCTGGTGGAAGTCAAATAAAAGACCTTGTTACCACTGTTTGCAATTATGATAGAACTAATTCATGCTTGCAGATACTTTCCCCAGAGTGATTTGAGAATGAATGTGTACAATAAATACACATAACATTATAGAAATAAGGCAACTTCTGCTACCATGAAAAGCAGCAGGAAAAAGAAAAGAGCAGTAACTGTTTATTAATTAGTCTGTTTTATTAGGAAATGGGGTATTCTCAGTGTCATTGCAAACTATCTCATTGTAAAAAAAATTCTTGAACATATTAATTAATTCTCTGTGTGAGAGAACATTCCTTGTAAAAACAAAATGGTCAACAAACTCAAGGGTTGTGTAAATTCAAATAATGATTCAACAGTCTGGCAAAACTTCTAAGTCCAGCTTTTCACTCAACTATATCTTTCTTATTAGTTTGTAGCAAATCTTGAGGAACCACAAACTACAATATGTGCATAGGGAGATCATCATTTAAATGCTGTGAATTATATACTTCTATCAGCTATCAGGATACAGTGGAAGTCTTTGTGTAATAAAATCCCTGGCACCATCTTAGTTTGCTGTGAACACTGCTGGCTTAAAAGTAGAGTTCTCATAAATAATGAGATCCCATTATTGCAGCTATCTTCGGAAGCAGGGGATTAGATACAATTCCAAATGCAACTGAGTGCTACACACAGTTTGTAATCAAAATGCTTAATGAAAATATTCTTGCTGATATCTTGCACACTGCAGGATACCATGAGGTCAGTTTGTCCTGTGGGGAGCCTATAATACGTCTAGTGAGAAATAATAAGCACCAGTGCAATTAATCATTTACATGCTTATGAAATCTAATAGATTAGCTATT